ATTTCCAGACTAACAGGTTGTTTAACACTGGTCTTTTACTTTATAACCTTTAGATTTTATAGACAAGAATCTGAATGGCCTGAAAGTAAGCAGTAGTGACCCTGATTAAGGCAACAGAACTTCAGAATGACCAGTTCTTCCTCTGGAATATATTACCCTTGGGGACTGTCCTACCATCATTGTCCCAACGTTGCTTATTCAGAGCCAGCCCAAAGACAAGTTGACTTCCAAGAGAGCCAGCAGTGCTTAGCAAACTTCTTTTCTAAAACAGTTGTTCATATTTTCTACAAAGATACAGTATAGCAAAATGGTTTAAAACTCACACTTTGAAATCAAACATCCTTAGTGGGCCTGGGCCCGTGGCCAAGTGGTTAAGTTCACCCACTCCACTTCGGCGGCCAAGGGTTTCACTGGTTCAGATCCTGGGGGCGGACATGGCACCGCTCATCAGGCCATGCTGAGAAGTCATCCCACATTGTACAACCAGAGGGATCTACAACTAGAATATACAATTGTGTACTGGGGGGCTTCAGGGAGAAGAAGAAGAAGAAGAAGATTGGCAACAGATGTTAGCTCAGGTGCCCATCTTTAAAAAAAAAAAAGAAAAATCCTTAGTGTCTTGGCTTTGGGAAGAGCTTGCTGAGTGACCTTTTGTAAAGTTGCTTAATCTCTTCATGCTTTACCTTTTAAATTCATCATAATATATAAGTAATAATCACTTCATGTGTTTATTGAGAAAATTAGATGTATATAAATACATTTATGTGTGTGTGTAATGTATGTAAAGTGTATAGCGTGGTACCAGGTACGTATTAAATGCTCAATAAATATTAGTTGTTGCTGCTGCTGTTGCTGCTCTTATTCGTAAACGAGCTCAAGGTCCTGACCTGCAGACGGGAAGAGTCCGCAAGAAGGCATTTCTTGTTTAATTTTCCAAGGTTCTTATACTAGGCACACTTTCTTTCTCTCTCAGTCCTATGGTGGTATCATTCTAATGTCATCTTTACTTTTTTGTGTTTCGACTTCTCTTCTAAATTAGAGACCAAGAAACGCATTTTAATCTTGCCACATTTTTAAAATCTGTTGATACATTATAACCAGAGTTCACTAAGCAATACTTCTTCGTTCATTCGCTTTTTTAAAAAGTCTATTGAATCCCAGTTTTTTTCTTTCTCCCTCTCCTCTCAGCCCCTTTTGGACTGTAGATGCCAGGAACTGAATTAATTTAATTATGTCTCAGCTCCATAACACATTGTCATCATCAGTACATGCAAGGTCCCTCTCTGGTTTTATTTTTACCCTTCATCCCTAAACCTCATCCTGTATCCTTCCTTCATAGGTACCCACTCTAATGTGTCTTTATATGTCCGTAATGTGCATGCATTTTTGTAAATAGGTAATATGTTTTATGTGCGTGGGTTTTTAATTTATAAGAAGATATTATGCTATTAATATCATTACATTTTAAAACTCTGTTAACTTTATATATGATTATTCAGTGCTTCTAAATTTTAACTATATTTTAGTTATCTATTCCCCAATGGATGGACACCTAAATTACCATCAGCACCAAACATGCTCTAATTAGCATATTCTTACATTACCCTTTGTAGATAGGATGATCACATTAGTCCAAACTGAAGTGCTTTTGAAATTGAAGGGGACTATTTTAATAATACTGGGACAAGAAGTGTATATCAAGACTCCCAGACAAACCAGGACATGTGGTCCACCCTATTTATGGAAGATTTTCCTAGGACACGGCCAATAACCAGCAGATGTGCACTGGGATGACCCTTCCCTTTCTGATTATTTCCAGGTGACATCTGTTGGAATTGCTTGGTTCATGTGCTAGACTGATTGTTGCATCTTTTAAATACCACCTTTGCTAGACACTACTCATGAAGGGTATCTCTGGGTCACAGGTTATAGACATACTTAGTTTCAATAAGTTTTCGTTTTGATCCAGCCTTGTCGAATTAATAGGTGGATGGACCTTTTAATTTCCCTGTCTTCCTATATTTCAGGACTTTTCGCATTTGTACTATATATTTGGTCATCCTTTATCCATCAAACTATGTGGTTTGGGGCTGTAGCAGACTAGTTTATTGACAGCTACTCTTAATGCGTCTACTCAATATAGCAACCACTATGTACTTTATAAAGGATTTTTTCAGATTTTGTGTTATATCAGGCCAGTCTGGTGGTACGGCAGTTAAGTTCGCATGTTCTGCTTCAGTGGCCCAGGGTTTGCCGGTTCAGATCCCGGGTCTGGACCTACGCACCGCTTGTCAAGCCATGCCGTGGTGGGCATCCCACATATAAAGTAGAGGAAAATGGTCATGGATGTTAGCTCAGGGCTAATCTTCCTCAAAAAAATTAAAAAAAAAAATTTTTTTAATGATTTTGTGTTATTGGACCCTAACAATTACCTTTTGAGGTGGAGGGGGCAAAATTTGTGATCTTTATGTTACAGAAAAGGAAGCTGAGGGTCAGAGATACACTGACTTGTTTTAGTCCACATATCTGCGAAGTTATGGTGTTGAATTTGTGACCCGGTCTTCCGGCTTTCATTCGCTTATGCAAAAGCTAAAAGAGGCAGGGAAAAGGATAAACTTCTGTTTGTGGTTAAAGCAGGGACTATCCAATTTAGCTTTATGTCTTCCTCAGAACATAACACACAGTGCCTGGCACATACTAAATGATCAATAGTTTTTAATGATCAGATGACTGGGAATTAGGTAGGTATCCGCAGGGCCCAGGTTTGAATTGGTGATACTGCTACGTGGGGCTTTGGTGACTCCTGTTTATTGCAGCAGTGCTTCGAATTATAGGTAAGTTCAGTTCTGTAAATGTTCTGGCTGAAGAAAGGGACTTCCCGTTGGTCCCGGAGTTCTCGTGTTAAGTGGTGTGGGTCCTTTACAACTGAAATGTTTATAATAGGTTATAAACATGCCTATGGAATGTGATTTCTGTGGGGGAGTAGACTGTAATTGTTTGTTAATAGAAAATGTTGGTAAGATTTCTTCCACTCTCCTTTTCTAGACGCTGATCTGTAGCTTTAAATAACCAGTAACAAAGTTCCTCCTCGCTCTCAATATATTGCATTCAGCTGCGTATAACATGCTTCCTATTCCCAAGATCGCCAGAGGCAGCTGTAGTGTTTGGTGAGGGTGTTGGATTTCATTGAAAGATTTTCTCCAAATTGTTCCAGTATTGAGAGAGGCTGATTAGCCTCAGCCTCCTTGCTCAAACCTGTCGCAGTTTTGAAGTCATTTCAAAGCCTTCCATAATTAGGCTCCACCTACCTTTCCATCTTATCTCAAATAATTACCCACCATCGCCTTTCTAATACCTTCCACCGCTATGATACAAATTAAAAGTGTTCTAGGAGAAACCATTTAGTGACTTAGATTTTTCATACCCTACCCTTCAAGGAATTTGAAATAGCCATCTTCCAGAAGTAGTTTTCTAAATCCTGCATTTCATTCTCCAGCTATAGATACTCTGTCCATAAGATATGCTATTTAAATTAGATGTTTCCTGCTTCTTCTCTCTTTGGTCATGTGTTTCCTTAAGTCACAGATTGGTTTGCTAGTGCTTATGTTAATGCTGTGAGCTTTACATGTAAGCTCTCATCCCACCAATAGGGAGAACTTGTTAGAAAGTCCACCTGTGTCTCTTTAAGCATCTGTTTTCTGTCGAAAGCAATAGTAGGCTAGTGATTATGGCTCTTCCAGTAGTGCCACTGGATTTTTGATTTTTTAATCGTTTCTAAACTCTCTCTTTTCTCTTTGTACCTTGGCTTTGAATTCTGCAGTACCTGACATAAAGAAAACCTTCAGGAAGTTCCTTTTCTTCTTTTCTTTTTAATGCATAGGTAAAATCTCTTTATAACAAAGGTTTTTTTATAGTGAAATTCTTCCCCCAACTTAGTGGTTGGTCCATGGAAATGGTACTTGTCAAAGTGACAGTCAGGTTTTTTTCTTTTTTTAATTTTATTTCATTGTGGTAAGAACACTTAAATGAGATCTACTCTCCTAACAGATTAAGTATAAAACACTAGTATTATCTGTAGGCACAGTGTCATACGTCAGATCTCCAGAAGTTATTCATCTTGCATAACTGAAATTTTACACCTGTTTAAAATAGTCACACAAAGAAGCGAAGAACAGAACAGTGTTTGCTAGAGGGAGGGGGAAATGGGGAGTTGCTAATCAATGGGTAGTCAGTTTTCTACAGTGAATAAAACTTGGCAATCACTGCACCCAAGTATGTGGTTGTTTGCACTTGAGGTAGAAAAGGAAAGAAGAGTGAATTTGGTGATTTAGTCCTATCATGAAGCACTAGTTACCTTTCTAGTTCACCAGTTTCCTGCCAACACCTACACTACTGCCCCCTCAACTCAAAATAGAAACAATTAATGAAACTCCCAAGACCATTTCTTCCCAAACACCACCATACACAAACTCTCTCAAAGGTTGGAAGAAGAGAAGTATGGAGGACAGTTTGGTTAGGTATCTCTCTCCCACTAAATTAAGCACAGTTCATTTGCTAATTAGTTAAAAGTAGTTTCTTCTCATGAACACAGCTAACCCTGTTACATTAGTAGCAGGAAAGTCAAGAACTGGATCCTATGAATGCCACCAGCAGAATCAAAATCAAATGTGAGCAGAAGCACATCTTACAAGAATCACCATTATTCTTTCACTGAGTTCAGTGTAGATCCTTCTTTTTATATTCAACAAACCGTGTTGATCACTTTGTTTGTACTTTTAGTCCTGCCTGGTCTGAGTGGACAACTCTGAGTACTCTTGACCTTTGTTGGTGATACTAGTCGCTGACCTTGTTCGTGACTATACACTAGCTATGTCACAGTCTGACTTGCCAGCCTTCCCTCCCTGCTAGGCCTTTCCTCTCTCTTTATCCTCCTCTTCTCTAACTCCTTTTCTTTCTTCTTCACCCCTATCTCCTTCACAACTCCTCCATGATTTTCTCAGGGCTGGGCTTCAACATCGTCGGTGGGACAGATCAGCAGTATGTCTCCAACGACAGTGGCATCTACGTCAGCCGCATCAAAGAGAATGGGGCTGCGGCCCTGGATGGGCGGCTCCAGGAGGGTGATAAGATCCTCTCGGTGAGAACCGGCTTCGGCCTCCTTCACTGTCCCTGGCTCCCTAGACCCTATTCCCACCCTCTAACCCTTCCTTGGGACGATTCCTGCCTGCCTTGTTGGCTCTGAAAATGTCCAGATTATAGCATTCAGTGGGAGGGACCTTGATCAGTCATCTCCAGCCCTACCAAAGAGCGTGGAGGACATTTTCTCGCTTGACAGACTAGACAAATTAAGTCCAGAATGTGAAATTACTTAGCCAAGGTCCAAACACATGGAACAGGGAGGGTGAGGGACTGATATGGGGGAAGGGAACTTAAAACCCACGCTTTCTGTCGTTCTTCCATTTACTTTATCACCTCCCTTTTGTTAATTAAAACACTAATGTGTGTCTTCCTCCAAAAGAGACAGAAAAGTAGGGTAGCAATTAAGTGTCCTCCTGAGACTCACAGCCCTTTTTCATCCGTTGTTAATGTGAAAAATTGGAATGCAGTCTGATTTGGATATCTGTCCACCGTGCTCCCATTTCTCTTTGCTAATTTCTCTAGTAAGAGACTTAATACATGATAACCATTAATTGTATTATTTTTGGAAGTTCATCAAGGGCAAGGACCAGATCTTTTTTTAATGTTTTACATCCTAGCACAGTGCCCAATATATATCTAACAAGTGAACAAGTTAGGAAATTCAGGCAAACTTAGAAAGGTTGGCTGATCCAGAATATAAATATAGTATCATGGATGGTAATATCCTATTTTAGTCCTTTTTACTGGTTTGCCTCTTTTCAGTCCATTAAGCTTCTCCTAGACGTGGTATATTAATCTGTGAGACAGAGAGAGTGATAATCTTCCTTTTATCTCAAAAGGATATTGAGAAGTTTAGAAGCAGATTATTTCCTACAGCTGCCAGGAGAAAGACATTCTAAAAACACATCACCTTGAGTGTTAGAGTAAGGAAAACCTGAGAGTGAGTTAAAGTTATGGCATGTCATTAGAAACTGTGCAGCTTATATTTTGGCACATACCACATTCTCTCTAGAACACTGGGCCCTGGGCTCCATGGGTAAAGAGGGACTTGAAAAGCATAGCGGTTTAGAAGAGAGCCTGTTATTTAGAAAGCTTTGGTTAAAGGTAGGTTATTGAAACATGAGAATGGTTAGAAGTTTTTGAGTCCTATATATGCCACACAATATGCTAAGAACTTTAAACTTACTTACTGTTGTAGTAACCCTATGAGGTGGGTACAATTATTATGCCTATTTCACAGCTGAGGAACCTGAGGCTTAGTGAGGTCAAGCAGCTTGCCCAAGGTCACACAATTAGTAAGTGGCAGAAGACTAAAACTTTGGGGTCTGTCTGAATTTGGAGCCTCTACTCTTAAACCAGTATACTGTACTGCCTCCCAAAAGGTAAATGAGGAGCTAGGATTAGGTATCCTAAACAGAAAGTTGTATGATGAATTAATACTGGATTTTGTGTATGGTCTTATGTAGAAACTGAAATTAATCTTTCCATAAAGGATAGAATTAGACAGGGAAAAAACTTGAATGTGAGAGAATTTATTAGACATAAGCTGAGATGAAGAGCCTTTCTTATGTGGGCCGTTGCGTTATAGAGAAAAGAAATTCTTGGAAGGCCACTCAAGTTTTTAAAAAGGGTATTGTAGGAGATAAATGTCAATGAAGAGAAAAGTCGATGTCTAAAAAACTCAGCTCACTTGACTTTAAAATTTATAGCAAAGAGGATTTTACTTTATCAAAATAGAAGAAATAGTACAAAGATCTATCTAAGATATTAAACATTACAAATATATAAGACATGTTACAAAGAAGATTCAAGTTTACGTTGTGGCCAATTAAGAAGACATGTGAAAGAAGAGAGGGGGAAGTAAAAGCAAAAATATAAGACAGATATAGAAAGAAAGGGGACAGAGAAAGAGAAAAAGATGGCACATATACAAGAGGAAAAGGTCAGTTTATCCTCTCCGTTCTATCCAGGGCTATATTTTTTGACTCCAGTTTCCCTTGCAAGTGTTTACTCCACAATTATTCTTTCTAGATCCCATTCCTTGAGAAACATCACCTCTGTTGCCTGACTCACCATCCTATTCCTTCTCTATCCTTACGTGAATTTGTTAGGCATAACCATTTAACAGTTACATCTATAATTCTTTAGCTCACTTCATCCCTTTGATGTACTTATGTACTCATTTATTATTGGCTTTGACATCTCTGTAAAATTATACCAAATTATTTATTAGCCTATATTCCCATTTATTCTTTATGGGCCTTCCTGTCTTCCTCACATGAGTTATTTTTCCGTGTTGTAAAGTATGCCCCAATTCTTTCATTTAAGTTTTGTTAGATAATCAGACTAAGAATATGTCCCTTCTTTAGTACATATCCATTTTGGATAACTAATAGAAATATCATTAAGTGATCTAAATTTCCTGTCAGTTATTATTCACTATTAATTTAATCTTTCCGTTTCTCCCTAAATAATGCCCATGTTTTGTCTTAATTGCAAGTTCTAAGATTAAATAACTGCATGACTTATCATGCAATTTACCTTTCTCAACAAAAGTGAAATTTAATTTTTTGTGATCATTGTGGATGGTTAAACAAAAAAGAAAAAAGAACAGAAATTTCTTTCATTAGTGAATGTAAATGATTTTTAAGGCCCTGTTGCATTTGACAAAGAACCATTAAACAAAAACAGATATTACCTATAGAAGAACAGGCCTGAAATTGAGCTGAGGGCTGGAGATTTCTCACCCAAAGTTCATTTTGTGTGTATGATTGTGAGGATGGTTTGATATTTGTATAGGTTACCAGGGAAGCTGGGGAAATTTTATTTTTGTGAGGGAAATATAAACTGTCTAGGTTTCTCATTTCCCCTGTGTGTCTACCTAAATGAAGGGAGGTGGATAGTCAAGAATAGTCAACCCTCAGTGAACTCCACAATTTTATGAAGCTCAGGATGATACAGCTGATTATTATACTGCACAGATGAATGTTCCATTTTGACCAAACCTCTTATATAACAAAATGGCACAGATTGGGTCATTAGTCAGCTGCATTTCATATTCTCTTCAAATACGGTTCTTAATTTGATGAATAAAAGAGTTGAGTAGTCATCAGCATTTATCAACTATTGTACTTGATGGCCTGCAGAGCGCTGTGCCAGGGACTATGGAAAATTAAAAGAAAATGAAAGACTAGTCTCTGCCCTTAGCTTAGAAATCAATGAGAATGACCCACCAGAAGCCCTCATCCAGTCAGCTGCAGAGGCGTTGAAATATACAGAATACAAAGTGCCTCTATGGAAGAGTCTTTGTCTTCTCGTCTCTGTGTCCCCAGCACCTAGGCCTGTAGCTGGCACAGAGTAAGCATCTAATAAGTTAATTGCTCTGTGAATGAATTATAGTGTAACAGACTTTTTTTTGTTTGGGCTTGATTAGTTGGAACTAGATAATCTATTTTTTTCTTCCTTCAACTGATGAAAAAAGGGGACCCCCCCCAACTTTGTGGTTCATTTCAGGTTCTTGATAAAAAATTAAAATATCCAAAGTATAATCTGAGGTCAGTGTTTATTAAATTGAGCCTATTCTTTCTCCACATCATTTACAGCTACATTTGTGTCATCCTATAGTTAGAGCTCCTGTAACTGTAACATGAGCCTGAGATAGTGTTAGATTATCCTGAGGCAATTCAAAATTATTAATCATCGGAGAAAACTAATTTTAACTCAGTGTACTCATTTCCTAAGGCAGGAGATAGGAAACTCATTTTTAAAGACTGCTAACAATTATAGTTAAAGCAAAAAATTATATATTTCCCTATCAGTTAACTAGAATACCACCATCCTAATTCTTGAATATTTGGTCAGCAAAATTTTCAAGCACGTTGCAAATTTGCCATATCTCAGGTTCAGAAAAACTTACTATGACGTGAGTTACAGAAGCTGAAGTAGCAAGTTTAGTTAGCAGTGTTCTATGGTTTCGCAGTTGAATAGCTGTTGGTACTAAAGTTGGGGTCCAGGGATCCATCTGTTATCACCTGGGAGCTTCTTAGAAATGTAGAGTCTCAGGAATCTTCCCAGACCTATGGAGTCAAAGTTTACACTGTAACAAGATCCCTGGGTGAGTCTGTGAATAAAGTTGAGAAGCACTGCTGTAGGCAAGTGTTTTCCAAACCTTTTAAATTATGACCTGTAATAGGAAATACACACATACGCACATATAATTGAAGCAGAGTTTAACAAAATAATACCTATCTCTTCTATATGTGACGCAGTCTGGTATGTTGTCTTTTCTTCTAATTTTGCTTTTTTAAAAATTAAATACTGGTCTTGACCCACTGGATTGACTTCAACTTCCTCTTTAATGGGTCAGCAGACCCATATTTGAAAAACCACTACTCCAGCAAATGGAAAAATACTGATGAAATCCATGGATGCATAGAGTATGTATTAAATAGGGTAAGTAGGCTGGGTGTGGAGACCAGTAAGAGGACCATTTCAGGCAGTTTAGGTTAAAGATAACTCAAACTTCAGAATTACCTGGAGGGCTTATTAAAGCACAGATTGCCACAATGGGCTCTAATAATTTGCATTTTTAACAAGTTCCAGGTTGATGCTAATACTGCTGGTCCTGGGACCACACTTTGAGAACCTCGGGTCTATAATATTAGTAAGGATAGTCATAAAGAGAGTGGATTCCACATATATTTGGAGTTAAAAAAACAGAGCTTGTTGGTTAGTCAGTGTCAACTGGAATCTATAGAAATGCTTGGAGGAGGTAAATATTGGAAAACAAATTCTGCTTTGGAATAGAGATGACATTGTCAAGAGAGAAAGAATCACAATTTACTTTATGGGACTGGTTTACATTGGGCAGAGGATGAGAAAGGGTTCTTTAAAAAAGAAATTCCTGGGCCAGTCCTGGTGGCCTAGTGGTTAAGTTCAACGTGCTCCACTGCAGCAGCCTGGGTTTGGTTCCCAGGTGTGGACCTATACCACTCATCT